CCGCCGCCTCCCCCGGGCTCCGCGCCGCCGCTGCGCCCCGCGGAGCCGCCGCCGCTCACGGCCGGCCCGCGGTTCTCCTTCGGCCTCCGTTGGGGGGGGGAGCGGCGGCGGCGCCGGGCCCGTCCTGCCCCGTGTGCGACCCCCCGACCCCGTGTGGGTGTTTGGGGGCGCGGGGCTGCCCGGCTTGGCGCATCGCGGCCCTTCGCCCAATAAACGCACTTGGTTGTCCTCACGTTCTCCGCTATTTCATTGGGGAGCAGCGCCTCGGTTGTGGAACTGCGGGCACGGAGGTGCTGCCGGGTCGGGGGGGGCTGCAGCCCCGCTCCTGGTCCCGGTTCTGAGGGGTCGAGGAGCCCCGGTGCTGAGTGAGGGAGCCTGCAGCCCCGGTCCGGGTTCTGAGGGATCCCAGTGTAGTGGCCCCGGTGCCCAGGTCCTGGTTATGAGGGAGCGTGGAGCCCCAGTCCTGGTTCTGAGGGGTCTCAGAGTTGTGGTGGTCCCAGTGCCCGGGTCCTGGTCATAAGGGATCTTAGGTTCTGAACGAGGGAGCCTGCAGCCCCGGTCCGGGTTCTGAGGGATCCCAGTGTAGAGGTCCCTGTGCCCAGGTCCTGGTTATGAGGGAGCTTGGAGCCCCGGTCCGGGTTGTGAGTGAGGGAGGCCTGGCGCTGCAGTCCTGGTTCTGATTGAAGGGTCCTGGAGCTGTGGTCCCGGTGCCCAGGTCCTGATTATAAAGCATCTTAGAGTCCTGGTTCTGAATGAGGGAGCCTGCAGCCCCAGTCTGGGTTCTGAGGGATCCTAGTGTAGTGGTCCCAGTGTCCAGGTCCTGGTTATAAGGGAGCCTGGAGCCTCAATCCTGGTTCTGAGTGAGGGGTCCTGGAGCCCCGTTTCTGAGTGACGGAGGCCTGGCGCTGCAGTCCTGGTTCTGATTGAAGGGTCCTGGAGCCGTGGTCTCGGTGCCCAGGTCCTGGTTATGAGGGATCTGGAGCCTCAGTCCTGGTTCTGAAGGGTCTCAGAGTTGTGGTCCCTGTGCCCCGGTTCCACTTGTGTGCAAGGGAGCCTGCAGGCCCGGTCCTGGTTCTGAGTGAGGGGTCCTGGAGCCGTAGTCCCCGTGCCCAGGTCCTGGTTATAAGGGATCTTAGAGTCCTGGTTCTGAATGAGGGAGCCTGCAGCCCCGGTCCTGGTTCTGAGGGATCCCAACGTAGTGGTCCCTGTACCCAGGTCCTGCTTATAAGGGGTCCTGGAGCCCCAGTCCTGGTTCAGAGTGAGGGGTCCTGGAGCCCCCGTCTGGGTTCTGAGGGATCCCAGAGCTGTGATCCCAGTGCCCAGGTCCTGGTTCTGAGCGAGGGGTTTTTGAGCTCCTGGTCCTGGTTGTGAGGGAGGAAGGCCTGGTGCTGCAGTCCTGGTTCCGAATGAGGGGTGCTGGAGCCCTGGTCCTGGTTCTGAGGGACCATAGAGCTGTGGTCCTGGTGCCCCAGGCCTGGTTCTGAGTGAGGGGATCTGAAGCCCCAGTCTTGGTTCTGAGGAATCCCGGGGTTGTGGTCCCAGTGTCCAGGTTCTGGTTGTGAGCAAGGAGTCCTGAAGCCCCAATTCTGAGTGACAGAGCCCTGATACTGCGGTCCTGGTTCTGAGTGAGGGGTCCTGGAGCCCCGGTCCTGGTTCTGAGTGAGGCAGGCCTGGTGCTGCTGTCCTGGATCCAAGTGAGGGGTCCTGGTGCCCCAGTCCTGGTACTGAAGGGTCTCAGAGTTGTGGTCCCAGTGCCCCGGTCCCAGTTGTGTGCAAAGGAGCCTGGAGCCCCGGTCCTGGTTCTGATTGAAGGGTCCTGGAGCCGTGGTCCCGGTGCCCGGGTCCTGGTTATGAGGGATCTTAGAGTCCTGGTTCTGAATGAGGGAGCCTGCAGCTCTGGTCCTGATTCTGAGGGGTCCCAGAGCTGTGATCCCAGTGCCCAGGTCCTGGTTCTGAGCGAGGGGTCTTTGAGCCGTGGTTCTGGTCCTGGTTGTGAGTGAGGGAGGCCTGGTGCTGCAGTCCTGGTTCTGAGTAGGGGGTCCTGGAGCCCCAGTCCTGGTTCTCAGGGGTCCCAGAGCTGTGGTCTCAGTGCCCGGGTCCTGGTTCTGAGGGTCCTGGCACCCCAGTCCCGGTTCAGAGTGAGGGAGCTGAGACCCAGTTCTGCTCCTGGTTCCGAGGGTCCCAGAGCTGTGACCCCAGTGCCCAGGTCCTGGTTGTGAGCGAGGGAGGCCTGGAGTCCTGGTTCTCAGTGAGGGAGGCCCAGTGCTGCTGTCCTGGTTCCGAGGGGTCCCGGAGCTGCGGTCCCAGTGCCCTGGTTCTGGTTCCAAGTGAGGGGTCCTGGAGCCCCGATCCTGGTTCTGAAGGGTCCTGGAGCTGTGGTCCCGGCATCCTGGTTGTGAGTGACGGAGGCCTGGAGTCCAGGTCCTGGTTCTGGTTGTGAGCAAGGGGTCCTGGTGTCGTGGTCCCAGTGCCGCAGCTCCTGGTGCTGTGGGCCCAGGCCCAGTTTGGTGGTCCCGGCGCTGTGCTGCCCTGCGGGGCCCCCCTTTGCTCTCTGCCCACCCCAACGCTGCGCTGCTGGCCGTGTTGGGACCCCCAAGTGGGCTCAGCCCCTCCCCCCCCCCCTGCGCCCCTGTGGCGGCTGTGGGGTCTGTGGGGGGGTGGGAGCAAAAGGTGAGGGCAGAGCTGAGAGCACAGCGTGGGGCTGGGGGCGCCGCTGTGGGGCTGGGACCCCTCATCCTTGGGCTCCAATCCTCCTCGGCTGTGATTGTGGGGCCCACAAGTGGACGTGTGGGGCTGCAGCGGCTGGAAATGGGAGCGGTGAGCTCTGGTGGTGGTGGTTGGTGTGGATGGAGTTGTTGGAGCATCTTCAGGGCTGTCCCAGGATGGGATGTGGGTCTGGGGGTCCAGGAGCTGCGCTCAGCGATGTGGGGCTGTGGATCTGGGTGCTGTTCGGAGCTGTGGGTCCAGGAGCTGCACGCAGAGATGTGGGTCTGGAGCTGCTGGTGGAACTGCGGGTTCAGGAGCTGCACGTGGAGCTGTGGGTCCTTGGATCTGGGTGCTGTTCGGAGCTGTGGGTCTGTGGGTCCAGGATCTGCACACAGAGCTGTGGGTCCAGAAGCTGTGAACAGAACTGTGGGTCTGGAGCAGCACGTGAAGCTGTGGGTCCAGGAGCTGTGGGTCTGGAGCTGCACACGGAGCTGTGGGTCCTCGGATCTGGGTGCTGTTCAGAGCTGTGGGTCCGGAGCTGCTCACA